TGCTTCTGAAAATTCAAGAACTTGATTAATTGACAATCAGTTTCGCATATCAATAGCCAAAGGTTAATTCCTTAACTCATTGACCCTAACAAGCAACTAAACCACCCTAATCCCTTAGGTGAAGTTTAATTTCAAGTTGCATTAAGACTTAGAACCTTAAGATTGCAAAATTAGGTCTCCTTATCCCTAATAAATCCCTAAATTCCGATTGCAAACTCAGATCAGAGATTCAAATCCAACTTCCATTGGTAAATATTCCTCTTTGATGAACCATACGAATTTCCATTCATAGATTGCAAGAAAAGCAGAATTCACAATTCAATTAATCCAAGAACTCAAAATTCAGAAGCAAGAATCAAATCAATACATCAATTCGAGTTTCATAAACCCCTAACTACAAGAAAACTACTCAGACATGGGAGAAGAGAAAGAGAAAGAAGAAGAAGAAGAAGAAGAAAAACTCCAAGAAGGCATAGTCAGAAGCTCCAATCCAATTCCTCTTTGTGGAAGCTTCAAGACTTGACCCCAATTTTCTCTCTTAATCTCTCTCAACGAGATCTAACAGAAAAACAGAAAAATAAAACTCCACACCAAAACATCTGCACGTTTCTGTTATTTATAGAATTTCCCAGATTTGCGCGTTATCACTTTTATGAGAAATAGTAGCTACACAGAAGGTTTATGGTTGCGCGTTAACACTTTTATGAGAAAAAGTGACCACGCTTAACTTTCCTGATATTGAAGGCTCTCTGGAACTATCACTCTTGCTGATAAAAGTGACTATTTTTTGGAGTCCATACTTGCTTCTTTCTTCTTCCTTGTCTTCAAGCCTCCATTTCCATGATCCTTACTCAATTTATTCCTTTAAAAACAAGATTAAAAGCTTAATTTCTAAACAAAATTTCTACAATTGCTAAAATAACTACATATGTAAACAAACTTCAATTCCTTCTCTTTTTTCTGAGTTTTTCTACTTTCTTCATATATTTTTCTTATTAATTGTGTTAGAATTATGCTAAAATATTAGTAAAAATATGGATTCATCAGTTTGCTATGACCTCATTCCGGGGGCAAACCCAATTTTTGTGGCCCCTTATAGGATGTCACTGGTGGAGTTGGCAGAGGTCAAGAAGCAAGTAGAGGATATATTGCAGAAACGGTTTGTGAGATCGAGTGTGTCACCGTGGGGAGCACCAGTGCTCCTAGTAAAGAAAAAGGATGAGAGTATAAGGATGTGTGTGGATTTTTCTCTTCTTGCATTCTTTCCAAACCCCCACACTTGAAATGCAATAACATTAATGAAACCAATGCACTCCCTATTCCCTAAGGTTAGGTATAATATAGTTTTCCACTTAAAGCTTATAATATGCTAGAAGCCAAAGAATGGTCCATAAGGCTCAAAGGGGCTAAACAAAGGGTAAAATGCAAGATAAGCTATATGGCCAAATGGGTACAAATTTGAAAAAAATTGCCTCTATCATGTTCTTAATTGCATATGAAAATTGTAGCCTCAAAGAAGAATCAAAACAAGTTCTAGAATGACAAAATCTAACAGGGAAAACACACAAGAAAGCAAAGAATGGCATGAATTTCAACCATCCAAAAATAAGGCTCAAAAGCTTACAAAGGTAAAGTCTAACATACTCAATCATACAAATCAAAATCAATCACCCAATTCACATATATCAAGAGGAAGAAGTAAAGATGAAATCATGTAGGAACTTTATCCTCCTTAATGACTAATGCCTTAACTCAACAACTTCTAATTCAACAAAGGAAAACAAAACAAAACAAAAACAATGCTAAATAATAAAAAATATTTATTTATTTATTTATTATCAATAACCTATCATTCTCCACAAAATTTGATTGCGAGTGTCGCTCTCAGACAAATTAATAAAAATTGAATTGCATAAAAATTATGCAGTAAGTGGTGCAATCTGAGTCGTCTCCCAACGATGATAACGTTATATGATTATAAAATTTTTAAAGGGGGTTTGATTTATAGAATAACTAATTAGAATCAAAAGTTAAAAATAATTAAAAACTCTAATACAAGAATTTAGAAGAACTACGACCACTCTATCACCGGATTCCAAGAAGATGCATCAACCAACAAATTAGTGATTAACATTAAATTCGAATGAAACCTCAATTCAAATTAAGCATTCACACGAGAACTCTCATGCATTCGATTAACACACAATTCGCTCAAAGTTCAGAAACCTCTAGAACCTAATCGATTTGTGTTAATTTAATTCACCAATGCCATTAATCTTAGATCTCAAACCTGAAAATCTAATTCACACTCCTTCAAGAATCAAAATTCAAAATTTAAAAATTCCGTTCATCACTTTGTTCCTTTTTTTCAGCTATGAAAACGGCCTCTTTTTGGTTTTTGGCCTGAAGGACAATTGTAGCCTTGGATGTTAGCTTCAAAATGCCACTAGAATGGGCTTAATCGGATGTCTGTGGATTGAGATATGGCCCAAATACTGCACCTTGCTCATGATCTGCGATTGCAGCATTTCAACTTTTTCCAGGCCCAGTTTCAACTTCTTATCATCAAAATTGGTTTCTGACCTCTCATAGGAATTGTGCACCTTTCTCTTAGCTTTCCTACAAATCAAGAATCACAATGAAATAAGTTCTACAACTCAAGATATGGTCCAAAAACCAAAACAGTATCAGAATTTGCCGAATACTGGAAAAATTAAATAAAGCCCAAATAAAATTCAAACATCATAAAATGATCCAATTCAAACCAATTAGACACAAAAGAGGATTAATGAGCTAGGAATGAGAGGAAATAAGGTTATAAAAATCCAATTGATCAATTATCAGCAGCTGAACAAGGAGACGGTCAAGAACAAGTATCCGCTTTCAAGGATTGATGATTTGATAGACTAGTTGAGAGGAGCTGCGGTGTTTTCTAAGATTGACCTGAGGTCGGGGTACCATCAGATCAAAGTAAAGGATGCAGATGTTCTTAAGACAACGTTCAGGACGCGGTATGGTCACTATGTGTATCTGGTAATGCCGTTTGGAGTGACCAATGTGCCTGCAGTGTTCATGGACTACATGAATAGGATCTTCCATGAGTTTTTAGATAAGTTTGTGGTTTTATTTATTGACGACATCCTAATTTATTCAAAGACTCGGGAGGAACACGTCGAGCACTTGGAGATTGTTTTCCAAATTCTGAAGGAGAGGCAATTGTATGTGAAATTCTCTACGTGTGAGTTCTGGCTGTCAGAGATTCAGTTTTTAGGACATATAGTATCAAAGGAAGGGATCATGGTAGATCCTGTAAAGGTGGAAGTAGTAGTTGGGTGGCCAAGACCGACAAATGTGACTGAGGTCCGCAGTTTTTTGGGACTAGCGGGCTATTATAGGAAGTTCATTGAAGAATTTTCTAAGATAGCTTTGCCTTTAACAAAGCTGACCCGTAAGGGAAAAGAATTTAGGTAGACCAAAGGGTGTGAAGCTAGTTTCTTGGAGTTGAAGATAAGGTTGACTTCAACGCCAATGTTAGCTCTACCTAACCTGGAGTGAAAGTTTGACTTGTATTGTGATGCGTCCAGGCATGGATTTGGTTGTGTTTTAATGCAAGATAGACGAGTGGTTGCCTATGTCTCAAGACAGTTACGCTCGCATGAAGTCGACTATCCAACTCATGATCTGGAGTTAGCCGCAATGGTTTTTGCTCTTAAGGTATGAAGGCAATACCTATATGGAGCGAGGTTTGAGGTGTTCAGTGACCATAAGAGTTTGAAGTATCTGTTCGATCAGAAGGAGCTGAACATGCGGCAGAGGAGGTGGATGGAGTTTCTCAAGGACTATGACTTCACATTGTCTTACCACCCTGGCAAGGCAAATGTGATGGCCGACGCTCTGAGCCGAAAGTCATTGCACATGGCAGCGATGATGGTAAAAGAAATGGAGTTGATTGAGGAGTTCAGAGACATGAATTTGGCTATGGAAGTTAGGGCAGGGAGTTTGTATCTTGGAGCGACAATGATTCATAATAACTTCTTGGTGTATGTCTAAGATACGCAGTAGTGGGATGCTTTTCTGCAAGATATGTTGAGGCAGAAGAATGAGGAAAAGAATTTGGAGTTCCACTGTGATGAAAATGGGATAATTAAGTTTCAAAACCGAGTGTGTATTCCCCAAATAGATAAGTTAAGATAGATGGTACTTGAGGAGGCACATAAGAGCAGGATGAGTTTTCACCCTGATGCGACCAAAATTTATCAGAATCTTCGGAAGAGTTTTTGGTGGAATGGAATGAAGAGGGATGTGGCTGAATATGTGGCTAGATGCCTAACCTACCAGAAGGCGAAGGTAGAACACCAACGTTCACCTGGGTTGTTACAACCGTTGAAGATCCCTGAGTGGAAATAGGACAATATCTCCATGGACTTTGTTTCTGGATTACCGAGGACCAGGAACAACCATGATGTCATTTGGGTGATAGTGGATCGATTGACTAAAGCTGCACACTTTCTCCCAATTAACATGAAGTATAAGTTGGAGAGATTGGCGGACTTGTATGTGAGGGAAATAATCAGACTGCATGGAGTGTCGACCAGTGTGGTGTTTAATAGGGACCCGAGGTTTACCTCGAGATTCTGTAAGAGCGTACATAGGGCGTTGGGCACTAAGTTACTGGGAGAGCCTACACAGGGCGTTGGGCACTAAGTTGAGGTTTAGTTTGGCATATCATCCGCAAATCGACAGTCAAACCGAGAGGACCATCTAGTCCCTGGAGGACTTGTGTGCTTGAGCAACAAGGGACTTCAGAGGGATGTTTGCCATTGGTGGAGTTCACTTATAACAACAGCTACCATGTCAGCATTGGAATAGTGCCATTTGAGGCTCTGTATGGGTGGAGATGTAGAACTCCTTTATGCTGGTATGAGAACAGAGAGGCTACTCTGTGTGCATCAAACATGATCCAGAAATAGAATGAACAAATTAAGTTGATCAAAGAGAAAATGAAAGCTGCACAAGATAGGCAAAAAAGTTACTATGATAAGATGAGGAAGCCTTTAGAGTTCCAGGTGGGTGACCATTTGTTTCTGAAGGTCTCACTTGTGACCGGAGTTGGGAGAGCTCTGAAATCTCAGAAGCTATCTCCTAAATTTGTTAGGCCATTCGAAGTGTTGAGCAGAATTGGTCCTGTAATGTACCGAATAGCGTTGCCTCCGAATCTCTCAAATTTACATCCAGTGTTTCATGTGTCACAACTCAGGCAGTATATGCCAGATCCTTCCCATGTGATTGATCTTGAGCCGGTTCAAGTGAAAGAAGACTTGTCGTATGACGTGTATCCGGTAAGGATAGCAGACCACCGCATCAAACAACTGAAGGGTAAAAAGATTTCATTGGTGAAGGTTATATGAAGCTCAAACGATGAGGGAGATGCCACATGGGAAACGAAGAGTAGAATGAGAGAGTTACACCTGGAATTGTTTAGGTAACTTGTGTGTGTGTGTATATATATATATATATATATATATATATGTATGTATGTATGTATGTATATATGTGTGTATGTAAATGTGAATGGATATTAGAATTTGCACTTGAGAGTGTGATGATGATGTTTGTGTGTATAAATGCATAAGAATGCGTATAACTGTATTGTAAAATAAATTTTCAATAGAATAAAAAATACATACATAGTAGAATCATAGTTATAAAATATGACCCTAATCAAAATACATACACTTGTCATATCCACTACCAAGATAATGAAAAAATATATACTTTATAAATTAGATTCACGCGTAGAACTTCTTTTAAAAAAATAAGTACTGTTCTGCAAACTAACAAATCAGCAGACCATGCTTGAAGAATATTTAAATAGTGTAAGGTCAAAACAATCGAAGGAGAGATGAAGGGAAAGAGTAGGAAATGAGTTTTCTGAACCCTAAACCCCTCAAATATCCCATGAGTCATAATATTTTTGCTACAACGAGACATCTCTCGCTACAATGAGGCTCCTTCTCGCTACAACAAAAATATCAAACAAAACTGCACTTTATTTTCTGCAAAATCTCGCTACAGCGAGACCCTCTTGCTACAGCGAGGCTGAATCCAGAAAACACCTCTTCTTTGTTGCCCTCTTGCTACAGCGAGAACGTAACATAGACACTCACATCTCCTGCGACCTTCTTGCTATAACGAGAAAGCAATAGAGACATGCCAACTTGCCCAAGACTTCTCGCTATAGCGAGAATGTCCCTACATCACACATTAGCCTATACTCTCAAGCATTTTCAATCCAACCACAAGTCAACAACCACACTTTAAATCACCACATACACATACACTTATATATATATATATATATATATATATATATATATTCATATTCATTCATATACACACATATCCACATCACTAACAGAACTCATAAAGCACATCTAAATCACAACATATATATATATATATATATATATATATATATATATATAATTGTCATAAAAGAATTACAAAACTCAAGGCATTACAAAAAGGGAAATGAAGTCCAATTTATAAATTGTAATTAGGTCATTTATCAATCTATGAAAAATTTTATTCCCAGCACCCCTACAATTTCAAAAAAGATAATTTATAAAGCTAAAGATTATAATTTGTAGCATCTATACTATTTGCCTAAATTACAGAGAAGGGGATTTTAGAGTTATTAGGATCTATATCTTTTATTTAATCTAGGTCCATGGATAGGGGTATATAATCCTTCAAAAAAGGTGTGTTTATAATCCTCCATGCTATCAAATTTTAAAGAATCATTTTCCCCCAAAATATTACCTAATTTTTTTGTTTTAAAAACTAAAGCTAATTGATTTACCTAAGAGTTTCAGCGTAAGGGTAAATTTCCAAAGGGAGCACCATTACTCATAATCATCTAGAGGAATTTTTAGATCTGGACACAAGTTTTAGGGTTTATTAGCAGTTTCATCATTATCATCGATCTCAGACAATATTCAAATAATCTAACACAATTTTAAATATTTCTTCATCATTTAAAATTGGATCTATCTCATTTGACTCAAATTTTATATTTATAGAAAAAAGATTTAGAAGAGCTAGGTTTAGATGACACTTGGTTCGCTTTTGGTTCATCAGACCGTTCACCCTCTTGCATGTCCAAGACATGCACTGCCATAGGAATCCCATCACCTATTTTTACCGTTTTAGTGTTTTGATCCACCAAGTCCATCTCCTCTGTGGATCGTTTCTAAGTTCATGGTATTCCATAATCTTTGAATCCACTAGAGCAGTGAAGAGGCCTCTCAATCTCACCTTCAAAGTGTTTCTAGCCTTCCTTAGCTCGCAGGCTAGGGCAATGAATCCTAGCAACGCCTCCTTAGCCTCCTTTGTTTTGAAATGAAAGAATGAATCTTGGAGCTTATGCGAAACCCTAGTATCCTGGGTTTAGATATTTATCCAAACTTAAGCACCCAAAAAGTATGGTACAACGAATCATTGTGTCCTGTAAGCAACAAATTCAAACCGTGATTAACTATTTTGAATAGAAAGTTAATTAAACAATGAAAAATGGTTTATATAACAGACCTCTAATTGAGCTTGACCTACATATAGAGATTGTTCATCTCATTTTATTTGACTATAACAAGACTTCTTTTTTTTTTTTTGGTTAGTATCATCTGTGTACTGGTTGACTAGTTAAAATTGATTAGAATTTGTTATATTGTTAGGGAAACAACTTGGTACGTTAATTAATTAGCTAAAATGGGAGATTAACGGAATTGAAGAAAAATGAGATTCACACGTAGAACTTCTTGCCAAAGTACTGTTATGCAAAGAAAACAAATCATTATATTATGTGTGGACAATTTTTATTGGGCTGTTCTTATTTCTTTTATTCCCCCTCTTAGAAAGAAAAAAATTAAATCAAAATATTGAATAGCATGACGACATATTTATACAAAATTTCTACCTCAAGCATATGAAATAAGGTCATAAACAGTCAAATAAAATCTAATTCACGAAATTATTTAATTTATGAACCACATCGTTGTTGTTAAAGACCATAATGTCAGAGGAAACATTATTATTGGACATAGAGGGAAAGTTATAAGCGTCTATACTGTAAAATAGATTTTCAATAGAATAAAAAATACAAACATAGTAGAATCATAGTTATAAAATATGACCCTAATCAAAATGCATACACTTGTCATATCCACTACCAAGATAGTGAAAAAATATATACTTTATAAATTAGATTCACGCGTAGAACTTCTTTTAAAAAATAAGTACTGTTCTGCAAACTAACAAATCAGTAGACGATGCGTGAAGAATATTTAAATAGTGTAAGTTTTAATTCATTTTTGCGACATTTTATGTTCTGGAAATATGTGAAATCGTGCTCGCAAACGGCATTGATAAATTATTCATGAAACATAAAAGAGCATGTATAGAGATTTAACACACCATTTGCATTACTTTCTCAAATTCAAAACATAAGATGTAGTGTAGTAATTTGGCTTGCATGGCAAGTGCTTCACATAGGCATATTGACCACGCACCAAACCCATTTATTTAATACAACCATAGGTCTTATTCTATGTATAGTAATACATATAGCTAGCTAGCTAGCCTATTATGATTATTATGACCCATGTACTTTTAGCTGGAAGCTTGAATTGTTCAGGCCAAGGCCATAGATAGCAGTTCAAGGATCCACTCTGATGGAAAGGAGATGGCAGATGCAGAGTCAGTAACAATATTAATGGATGAACCATTAACTGTTCCCTGATTTTGAAGTGCATAGTAGGCAACAAAGAAGAGGGGTGGTGAAATGGTAGCCCAATCACTCTGTTTGGCGCTGTAGCCAACCAAGAAGCTATCTACCGTGGTATATTGTTTGGCTATATTTCCAACCTTTTCCTCCAAGTCTTTCACTGGAGTTTTAGGATCAGGTGTAAACCCAGGGTAGCATTGATAATCAACAACATTAATGATACTGTTGTACTTTCTGAACAAGGGGACGTAGAACTTATCACTGTTAGCAAAGTTTGGAGCAATGGAAGCCCTAGTGATGACTTTATCTCCCTTTAGGTTGTCTATGAGTTGGCCAATGCAAGTGACAAAGTCATCTGCTGTGATTGAAGGCACAATTTTGTCATAGCGAACATCAATTCCATCCAAATTGTAGTCTGCGATGATCCTTTTCAGCGATTCAGTGGCATTGGTAATCCATGCACGTGTATCAGTGCCACAGTCGAAGGGGAATTGTTCACCGTTGTTTCCAATGCTAACTAGCACTTTAACTGTTGTCCTGCCGGCACTGTGTTTGAACTGCTTAATCTTCGCCGGAGTGACTTTTTCGGTGTCCCAGTAAGGAATGAACTTTCCCTTGGTTGAGTTTATCCCATCGTAGTCTCTAGCATAGGCCAGAACCAGTTGGAATTCATTCGCACATGTAGGGATCGTTTTAGGGTCTGAGAATGAGTCATCATTGGCGTATTGACGAAACACATTGAACCCCATTATGGCAAGTATAGAAATAGGAGTTTCGGATATGAACAAAACAGTTGTTGCTATTTTGTATGTTTGGTGTGATGAAACCACGCTCCACTCCTTCCCTTATATAGTAGAGCTCAAAGCCTCCTTGCCAAAGTTGACTAATACAATCCCATGGAAAAGGCGTCATGAATATTATATACAAATCATAAAAATATTTACAAGAAAACTGTTGAAGGTTTTAAAAATTTTGAAAAAGGAGAAAAACTATAATCAAAACTGAAAAAATTTGGCAAGTTTATGGACGTGATATATCTTTTCTATATTTATTGTTTTTATTTATCTGTGCTTGCATATATATAAATTTTATGTATAATTTGAAAATTGGTATTACGTCCGCCTCTTAACTGACATGATTCTGATAATTTTATTTTTGAACTTATGATTTCAATATTAATTGTATTTTTTGTGTGAAAATAATATTATTAGAAAAAAGATATATCAGCTTTGTAACACTTTTCTGAACATCAGTATAAACTTAATTATAACATTTATTATTAATCAATTCTTTTACAAATGTAAATAAACGTAGTTTACGTTTCTAATATCTCACACTCAAACAGTGATTGCCATATAACGTATGAAAAGAAAATGTTTAGTTAGGAACCGATTTAATTTCCCAAAATATTTGTGATACTAAATTCATCCGATAGTAAAAGGTACAAAAATAGTACCTTTTTCTGTTTTTAACATAAGGATGATTATTTTTGTGTCAATTAAGCACCTAATTTGATATTGTAAATTTATTAATAACGAAATTAATTTTAAGTGAATTTTATCAACTACATACTGAATACAAATAAAATTTTAATATCATTCTATTGATATGTTATAAATATTTAATAGCATAGAAAGAAATATTACACATTCTATAAATTTGCACATTGCATAAGAACTCGTGTTTTCACATTAAATAAAAAAAATTGATGAAAGTAGTGAAATTGATAAGAATGAAATTATTATATTTATGGTTAAATATACATGGCTAACAAATTAACATGTGTTAACGTACGTACAGGAAGGGAAAGAGAATGTGAATGTGGGAAATTTGGAAGAATTTTATACAAAGAACTGTCACGGGACATAAAGCTGAGTATGTAAATATGTGAAAGAGAACAAACTTTTTTCACATTAGTGGGATTTTTTGAGAAGAGGAGGAGACTTTGAATATTTTTTTGTCTTAGAGGGGAAAGAGAACAAGCTGAGTAAGCTTCAATTATATTCGAACGCTGCAAAATTAATGAGTGAGTACATATTGGAGTTTTAATCAAATAATTAGTTTGCGGAACCACTTATGCAGTGGGTACAAATTTATATCACTCGTTAACTTTTAGATATGAATAATGAGTGAGTCTTAATTTCCTACGACCAATCCTTTTTCACATTACTGGAGAAATGACTGGGCAGGGACATACCAATGATTAAATAGATTACGATTCACATTAAATTTTTATTTTATAATTTATTTAATTTTTAATAATTAAATAATAAAACATAAAAAATGTTATTTGATAATTTTAGGCAAAAAAAACCTTTAGTCATATATATAAATAGAAAGTCCCCGTAGAAGGGACATTATTTTCAATTTTCATGGGAGGATGATTTACAGTAACAAACAGACTATAGAGGGTAAGAGTTTAATGAAAAATTTGAATGACATATTGATGTAGAAATACAGTGATAATAAATACTACGATGTTCAATCTGTTTATCACTATTTTTATAATTTCTTCACTTCATGTAGCTATATAGTTGTGTCTAGCGTAAGCCTGACGCAAAATTTGAAAGGTCACTGTACTGAGAAAAGTAGTAGTATTCATGTGGCGTCTATTGATTAAGGTAATTCCAGTGTAAAGGAATTTGACCAAACGCAGATTGACGATTCCATTACAAGCTTTTAAGTTGTGTGATACTAAAAATGATGAAATTTTATTTTTCTGTATTAAAGTATTTCTATGAGATTGTAGTACATGGCGTTTGAAGGATTTTGTATTAGAATATGCTTACCTAAAAATTTACATAATACATTATTGAACTTGTATAGAATTTGATGTGAAAAAATGAAATAAAAAGAAGTTGTAACGGTGTGGTTTACGATAATATGAATAATTTGTCTTTAGTAAAATAATATGTTATTCAATAATGACTAATTAGTATGCTAGCTAATTTATTAGCTCAACTAGCTCATCATGACCAAGTGGATTATATTTTTTTAGACCAAGATCCTTGTTGTACTCTGTTATCTTTGCTAGACCAAATGCATTGGGTTTAAGTGTCTTAGATCTTGCTATTAGAATTTTTATTTTTATTGCTCAAGTGGTTCCCTCGTTTGATATATAAAAAAATATTTTTAAATTATGCATTAAGAAAATAATTATTAAATAAGGGAAAAATAAAAGAAAACAAACAAATGTGAATAAAAAAGAGGATCTTAAGAATAAACACCCGTTAATGTGAAAAAGGATGGGTCTTGGGAATTGAATGACTTGCTTAAATTTCAGTCATATAAATTTGTACACACTGGATAAGTGATTCTGAACTTATACCCAACAATATAGACAAATTGACGGACGAGGATTAAAAACAACGAAGTACACGTGCTTTGAACTACCTAATATTTCGAGCTAGTTAGAATGCACAAGATACACAGCTCGTAAACAACTTGAAATAGTTATAACCCCAAGGCAAGTAGAAAGCTAAAAATTCATAACAAAGTCTTTAGTTGATTTAGTATAATTATTTATTTTAGAAAAAAATAATATGAATTTTTACCAAAATAAATAAAGAGATAATAATGGGTTTAGATATTTTTTTTGTCTGCTAATAAAAAGGGCTTAAGAGAAAAAACAAACAAACCCTGTATTACAATCCTAGGATGCCGCATTCATTCTTAAAAAAGATAGTAAAGAAGGGTGAGCCTTGTCAAAATAGAAAAAAGCTACCTCACTCTCAGCGCCTATTTTAGCCAACCAATCTGCATGTTGATTGACTTCTTTAAGAACATTGCTAAAGCTAATGAGCCTAATACCTTTTAACAAATTCCTAATCCTCCTAATTACAGAAAATAAAGGATAAATGTAGTATAGAGTCAAACCTAGGTCGATTCATGAAGACATATTCTCAGTCAAATTTAATTTTAGGTTTTCTTTTAAAAAATACAAATAAGGTTTTTGGAGTTTTAAAAATTGCAATTAATCAAATTAAATTACGAATAAAATTAAAGTGAGTAAGAGATGAATTAAAAAATATCAATCCATAAAATACCAATTGCGTGTAACTCTGACTATCACAGTATCTAAAGATTTAAATCCATGTTTGAACAATCACCCAATTCAATTATTAATTCAATCAAATAACCTAATTGAATAGAGTTATGAATTAAATTAAATAATCATTTAACCTAATGCGCATTCAGGTGATCTTTATCTTGGATGAGACGATGATCTTGATTCTAAAGACCTGACAGAAATAGAAAGCTGGCATGAGATCAACTAGTACTTGATTCTTAGTGTTGGAATATATTTTGGGCTGTCTAGAACTTGAATTGTTATTTTTTTTTTGTGATATAGTTATTTTGGCCATGTAAATATTATTTTAAATCTCATGTGTTTGACAAATATTTTGTAAATTACTGTATAAAATATGTATAAATACAGGCCTTGTACCAATGTTTGTAAATATTTATTTCAGATAATTATAACTTATGTTTACTGCTATTTACTTAATATTTTTTGGATTGGCAGACTTTGTAAATAACCTTATTCACAAATAGATATTTTATCTATTTATACTTACAATATTTGCCATATACAAAAATTTTATACATTATGCTGAACTTATATAAATGGAATAAACAACTTTCAAAATTTAAAAATTTAAGATGGTACACATTACCATAGGAATCCCATCACCCATTTTTACAATTTTAGTGTTTTGATTCATCAAGTCCATCTCCTCTGTGGATCGTTTCTAAGTTCATGGTGCTCCGTAACCTTTGAATGAGGCCTCTCAATCTCACCTTCGAAGTGTTTCTAGCCTTCCTTAGCACGCAGATGCCTCGGAGCGGCTAGGGAAATGAACCATAGCAACGCCTCCTTAGCCTCATTTGTTTTGAAATCAAAGAATGAATCTTGGAGCTTAGGTGAAACCCTAGTATTCTGGGTTTAGATATTTATCCAAACTTAAGCACCGAAAAAGTATGGTACAACGAATCATTGTGTCCTGTAAGCAACAAATTCAAACAGTGATTAACTATTTTGAATAGAAAGTTAATTAAACAATGAAAAATGGTTTATATAACATACCTCTAATTAAACTTGACCTACATATAGAGATTGTTCATCTCATTTTATTTGACTATAACAAGACTTGTCTTTTTTTTTTTTTTTTTGTTAGTATCATCTGTGTACTGGTTGACTAGTTAAAATTGATTAGAATTTATTATATTGTTAGGGAAACAACTTGGTACGTTAATTAATTAGCTAAAATGGGAGATTGACGGAATTGAAGAAAAAATGAGATTCACACGTAGAACTTCTTGCCAAAGTACTGTTATGCAAAGAAAACAAATCATTATATTATGTGTGGACAATTTTTATTGGGCTGTTCTTATTTCTTTTATTCCCCCTCTTAGAAAGAAAAATATTAAATCAAAATATTTAATAGCATGACAACATATTTATACAAAATTTCTACTTCAAGCATATGAAATAAGGTCATAAACAGTCAAGTAAAATCTAATTCATGAAATCATTTAATTTATGAACCACATCGTTGTTATAAATAGGGGTGGTCAAAAAATCCAATTTCATAAATCCAATCCATAACCAATGTCAAATTGGTTTTAAAAATCTAAATCCATATTAAACCAATTTTTTTATTAACTATATTTGTATAACCAGTTTAGTGTCTAAATCCATTTTTTAAAATCGGATTTATTTTTAGTTATCCAAATCCATATATATAAA